CGGGCCGAAATCAGAGACGTGAATTCCGCCTGAAAATCGGGGGTCTGCGTCGAAAGATTTTTCACTTTTTCTGACTCCGTAAACCTTTCCGGAAGCGATCAATGAGGTCGGAGACGGCCTGGGGGCGAGTTTTCATGGCGATACGATTGACAATAAGCCGGGAAGACACGTGGGCGATGACGTCGGTTTCCTCCAGCCCATTGGCCTTCAGGGTAGTGCCGGTGTCAACGAGATCCACAATTGCGTGTGCCATTTTCAGGGAGGGGGCAAGCTCCATTGCGCCATGAAGATGCACGATCTCGGCGTTGATCCCACGGCTGGCGAAATGTGCCCGAGCTGTTACCGGGTATTTGGTGGCAATGCGTATTTTCGAGCTGGGGGCTTCGTCGCGCAAACCTGCTCGAGGGTGACGTGCCACACTGATGCGACATTGTCCGATTTCAAGATCAAGAGGCGCGTAAATTTCCGGGTAATCGAACTCTGTCAGAACGTCTGAGCCGCAAATACCGATATCGGCCCCTCCAAATGCGACAAAGGTGGCCACGTCAAACGATCGTACCCTCACAATGTCGAGTTGACTCTCCGTCGAGGGGAAACGCAGCGCTCGCGTTTTCTCGTCGATTGGGCTGGGCTGGCTCAGCAGTCCCGTAGCTTCGAGAACAGGAGTCAAAGCTTTAAGGATTCGCCCTTTCGGCAAAGCAAGAATCATTTTGCTACCTGTCGCAGCTTTTACTTCGTTCTCTTCGGGGGTTTTTGTTTCGATCATTGCCGACGGAGATTAACATCTTTCAGGCTCGAAAAACAGCTTGTGCCGAAACTTTGACTTCAGGATGAAATGCGGCGCGCTTTATGAACGGCACTGGTGCAACCTTCATTCCTGTTGAACGCTTAAGTTTACTCTCACCCAACAGGCGTAAATATGCGGCTAAGCCTCCAACCGCCGGAAATGACACCGGACTATAAAGCTCTTCTGTCCTCTGATCGTCTTTCCACCCGTACGCGCGACGCGCTTATTAAGCGCGAGGAATTTGATGACCAGGCTTATCAACCGCTGCATCTCTCTCCTCGG